TGACTAATGTGGTAAGTTACTTCTACTGAATAATCTCTGTCTACTTGCCTGCAATTGACCTTTAGAGTTCTAGTTTATCAGCATAGATTACTGACGCAGATAACTGAAACTTCCCCAGCATAACTAATTTGAACTAAGTTTTATTTCCTGCAGTGACAGAGAATCCTCATAGTCCAGCAAAAGTTTTATGTCTAAGCAAGTAGTTATCAGGCAATCCTTCATTGAATGTGTTTGCTGTTTTGTTGATAAAATTGAAATTTCCTTCCTGCAGACTTATTTTTTTGAGTCTGTCTAATTAGAACCCCGCTCAGGCATGAAATTGGTACTGCTGACTGATTAAATAATAGATAAATAATAATGACAATTATTATTATTGTTATAAATAACTATGCAAAAATAATGTATGTCAGATTTGTAGATAGTCTTGTTACGGCTCAGTTACACCAGAGTAGTCTAACAGCAAACACCTTGTGAATTTTTTACCTCCAGAGATGACCCTAAGTAACTGTGTTAACTGTCTGATCACAAAACAATTGCACAAGTTGCCTGGTGGGAGGCAACCTGTCTCCAAACAGTTGCGAACAGACTCAGACTGCCTGCAATCACTTTCAGACACACTGTTAAAGGTTTGCAAATAACTGCTGTCTAACTTCTAAACACAAACAGCCAAAATGTTGCAATCAGTATGAGTCAGTCTGCTCTGATAAGTGCAACTTGTCCTTGACACGTTTCTTTGCAACACTGGGCTCAACTCAGCTGCTTGTATTCTGGTTGTAATCTGATGATATTCCTATGTAAAGGTTGCAGAGCGCCTTTGTCATTTTGCAGTTAATCTGCCACCCTGCAGCAACTGCGTCACTATTTGAGGAGGAATTTCCATTAGGTTCTGGTTGGACTCTTAATGTTAAGTAGTTACTGCATGAATTTCTGTACTTATGTACTAAGGTTGAAATTCATTGCAAACCATGGCACATGTTTGCAATAATTTTGGTTGTTTTGTGGTCTTCAA